TCCAGTATCTACAAAACCGATAATACTGGGCAGCGCTGATGATCTATGTCTGTATTGTAAAAATGACAACAATCTTGGTGAAGTAGCCATGTTTCTTAGGATGGGCAATTCTAATTTTAAAAAAGGATCTGCCATAAAAAAAAAAAAAAAAAAAAAAAAATCACTCCAGCCACAAATACCACTGTACAAACCACATTCCCTCCTTTTCTCCAGCAGTTTTTTTTTGGATTAACTAAATCAAACATCCCAATTGCCCTTGTGCTTGCTGACCTACACAGACTCCTAGCTACGCAACGTCTCGATATTAAAATTCATAGCTTGTTTTCAAATCCCTCCGTGGCCACACCCCACCCTCCATCTCTAATTCCCTCCAGTCCGACAACCTTTCAAGATAGCCAATGCTTCTCTAATTCTTGAGGATGCTTAATTTTAGTCAAAACCATGCCAAGGTGCCTCAATCCCAGTTTCTGGAATTCCATCCCTACACCTTTCTACCTCGATTTCCTCCTTTAAGAACCTCCTAAAAACTAACCCCTTTGACTGAACTTTAAGTCATCTGACCGGATATCTCTTTGGATCACCTGGTGTTATACTTTGAATGATAATGCTCCTGTGAAGTGCCTTGGGACGGTTTCTGAAGTATAAAGATACGCTGTTTTTCTTTCAAGGGCATTACTCATGAGTAATGAGGTATAGGTGGGAATCAGAGGACTCCAAACGGGGACAGCAGCATAGGGATGGACAGCAATAATGCAAATAGACTTTGTTTCTATGGCTAATGGTGCCGAGTCCATGGTATACAATCACACTTGGTGCGATTCAGCCCAGGCAAAGCACAGGCTGACTGGCTTGAAACCTGGCTGTGCTGAAGAAAAACAATGTTTGAAAACAGAGAAGGACATTAAAGATAAAAATAACCATCACAAGAATTGATGTATTGCTGACAGCAAGGATCAAAGAATCATTGAGTACAGAGAGGCCCTTCAGCCTATTGAGTCTGCACCGCCAAAAATACACTATCACCTACACGAGTCTCATTTTCCCCACACTCAGCCCATAGCCTTGAATGTATAACAATAAGTGTTTATATAAACTGCTGCAGCTGGTGGTGGGCTTTACATGTTGCCATTTTGTTTCAGGCTGCATTTGACCTCTTGGCCCACCTAGATAAGCCAAAAGTACTGTTTATATTGCTGGCTTGTGAATTCAATGCGGAGCCAGTGCTCAAATTCTGACTTTTGAACAGTTATGCAACTGTTTGCGCTGCTATTAGTTGTGCTTTTAAAACCAGAAGGTTTTATCTCCTGTGTTAAATCACACTCGTAGGTAATTCCCTACTCAAGTTTTGCTTTGAGATCCATCTAAGTTTTTGGCAACATGTTTAGGAACTGAACACCAAAGTCAGTCTGGCAAATGCTCTCAACAATTAAACTTATCCTGTGACCCCATAACATCCCACTCTGATGCAAGAGTAATGGAACACCACCCATTTGAAGATTAAAATAGCAAGAGAATTCATTTTACCAAAGCCGAGTATGCACAGAAGAAAAGCATACAATTTACAGATAACACCCTTCATCAAACCTAACTGGACAAAATCAAATTGCGACTCCAAAAATTACAAAAAATGTCCAAATAACTGCAATGCAGTTTTCCTTGGACTTTCTGACTATTGTGGCATTTAAAATAATCAAAATTGCTGGTTGAAAATTTAAATTTGATGGGCTTCTTTCCAGGTATTTCATGCTAGCCTGATCCTCCTTTGAAAAGGACCAGGAAACAGAACGGGACTTCCTGCATTAAGTAATGCTATACCAAAAGAACCACTGCAACAGCATTAGATCTTTCTTCTTGCTAGTCTTTAAGCCACACAATTTCACTTGTTCAAAGCAAGCAAAACAAAATCTGAACTGTCATGAAGTTTTAAAACTGCTTCTGTGCTTGGGATAGGGGCTAGACATGAAAGCAATGTGAGCCAAAAAAAATTAAATCTCTCTTACTGCCAATAACAGCAACACTGATGTTTTGTTTGTGGGGGACAGGGGCGGGGAGAAGAAGAGGAGTGAAGAAAGCATGCAAGGCAGGGCACGGCAGGATTTGGAGGGTCTTCTTAAAAGAATGCATACCAGAGAGGGCAGCAGCTAGGCAAGAGTGTGCCAGAGTGTGTACTAATCCTTCTGTGCTTCTGTGTGAAGTTCTGAAATAATTCCCCACACTGTACCAAAGACAGAGGATATCAAACAAGAAAGAATCAGGGAATCCGAGGATACAGATGATGAATTTACCTTTCAACTCTTTCTTTTCCTGGTCAGGAGCCATGTTGATAGGAACCAGTCCCCACTCCGAGTTCTCTGCTGAAGCCACGTTCCCTGTAGCAAATAGAAAAAAAATAATCAATTGGACACAAAAAGCAAGAAGGAACAGCAAATGGAAGAGAACTGGAGAGTTTACTCAGCACAAACAGGCATTCAGGTCAAGCCAACGTAGCAGGAAACAAAGTGCATTAACTACCATGGAATGTTTCAGCACAGTGCCAAGGTTGGCACACAGTAACCAACTCAACATAGTTCCAGGTCAGTTTAAAAGGGCTCCATCACTTTTATGGGACCTAAAAAAAAAACTGTGCACAGTACAAACTTTAAAAGTAAAGATTCTCAATGTTTTTGATATCTGTATGGTGAAAAACAAAATGTTAACACAAGATTCATATACTGACCTTCACGCAAACTAGCCATGACACAGTGAAAGTGTACAGCTTACATACTGATACATATTAGTTTGTTTTGGAGGTGGTGGAGGCTGGGGGGGGGGGGGGGGGGGGGGGGGGGGGGGGGGGGTCCAAGTGCCCAGACAGTTTTTGAAATGTTCATTATCCTCCAAACCATGCTGAGAAACCTACACAGTATTGTGCCTATTTGCCCGAGATAGAACATAAGAACATAAGAACTAGGAGCAGGAGTAGGCCGTCTGGCCCTTCGAGCCTGCTCCACCATTCAATAAGATCATGGCTGATCTTTTCGTGGACTCAGATCCACTTACCCGCGTTCTCACCGTATCCCTTAATTCCTTTATTGTTCAAAAAAAATCTACTTTACTGAAGTACCGTCAACTACTTCACTGGGCAAGGAATTCCATAGATTAACAACGCTCTGGGTGAAGAAATTCCTTCTCAATTCAGTCCTAAATCTGCTCCCTCTAATCTTGAGGCTATGCCCTCTTGTCCTAGCTTCACCTGCCAGTGGAAACATCCTCTCTACTTCTATCTTATCTATTCCCTTCATAATTTTATATGGTTCTATAAGATCCCCCCTCAATCTTCTGAATTCCAATGAATATAATCCCAATCTACTCAGTCTCTCCTCATAAGCCAACCTCCTCAACTCCGGAATCAACCTAGTGAACCTCCTTTGCACCCCCTCCAGTGCCAATACATCCTTTCTCAAGTAAACATATTCTCCCCACAGGGAGAAAAACTGAAGTCTGCACATCATTAGACAGAACTATGTTTAAGAGACCTCAAGTATGAGAAGGGGTCCTGCATGAGTTTAACAAGTCAGACTTGCAGAAAATACTGTTAAGCTTCAATTTCATGTGTGACCCCTACTCTAGATTGATGCGTGAGGGACAATGCAGTGCCCAGTCTCTCCCATTGAACAGCTTCATTCTCATCTGTACAGTACATGACCTGTTTGCACAAGCTCCATGCAGATGAGTTTGCACTATTCATGCTGACTCACACACCAACTCAGTATCGTGCTCTCTTCAGACCCTGCAGATACCCTTTCAGCTTCACTGGAATCACTGGCAATAGCCTGAAAAAAACTTGACCATAATCGAAAGACTTCAACCAACGCAGAATTGTGGGAGGATCATTTCTAGGAACTTGTACACCTCGCAGCCAAGCTCAATCTAGTCATCCTGCATCATCTTTTCAATAACTCAGCCTTGTGATAGATACTATCAAAATGTATTTCTGCAGATACTCCTGACTGTTCTATAATGGTTTTGTGCTCCTTTCATGGCCTATGCTTTCACCCAACAGCTCTCCTTCTCTTTTCAGGTAGCTTCAAAAGGCCCAGTTTAATTGACTAGTAGCCACAGATTTTAACTTCTGTTTATTTATGTCAACAGTTACTGAGACAACGAAAGCTTTTCTATTATCATCCTGGCTTCAGAGGCAGGGTTTGAACAGAAACGGATCAAAACAAACATTGAATTGCTCAATCACAAAGTAAGTATTCAGAAGGATGAAGGCAGATATTTGGCCTATTGCTCATGCACTCTCTGAGAAAGCTCAATCCCATTGCTCTGCCCTTTTGACCATTGTCCCTGTACACTAAAAACCTTGTGCCACATGCCCTTTTAAATTTACAACTGTGCAAATTCCTCCACACCCCTCCCTTCATTCATTCTTTTGGTGATTATCTTCATTTTGACCTTTCTAGTTACTGACACACTGATTAACAGGGAACACTTTTCCTAGTTTACACTCAAAACCTTTCAAAAGCCTCTCAAAAGTAAGTTTGAACTGCTCTGCCAAATCTCCCAAACCAATTAAGGGGATGCGACTTTTCCAGCCACTTGTCCCTGCTAGCTTTGTGAATATTTTCTGAACCGTGTCTATGACCTGGAGATTCCTTCTAAAGTAAAGCATCAAAACTAGGCTCAATATTCAAACTGTGGCTGACCACGGATCTGTACAGATTGAGCACTGCCCACTTTTTCCACTCCATGCTTTTCTTTACAAAACTAAGAAGGCTGTATATGATTTATCTTCAAATTGACCTCTTACTTATATAATCTGCATGTGTGAAACCAAAACTCTGCTCTACTCATTTTTAAGATTTTATCATTTATTGTATATTCTCTTTCACAGAATCACAGAATCCCTACAGTGAGGAAGCAGGTCATTTGGCCCATCGAATCCACACCAACCCTCTGAACAGCATCGCACCCTGACCCACCCACCACCTGCACCCCCCCACCCTATCCCTGTAATCCTGAATTTCCCAGGCCAATCCACTAACCTGTACATCTTTGGACTGTGGGAAGAAACCCACACAGACACAGGGAGAAAGTGCAAACTCCACACAGACAGTTGCCAGAGGATGGAATCGAACCCGGGTCCCTGGTGCTGAGGCAGCAGTGCTAACCACTGAGCTACCGTGCTACCCAAAATGTCACTTCACATTAAATTTATTTTGACATTTATCATTCCAATCTACTAACCGTCTGCGTCCTCCAGAAGTCTTCAAACTATCCTCTACAAAGTTAACCATATTCTCACTTTTGATGTTACCTATACATTTTAACATTATGCCCTTCAATACGAGTCCAGGTCATACATGTTTAGAGAGAGGAACAATAGCCCCAACAAGGAGCAGTGGTGCCGGAAGACGAGAAGAAACTTGTATTCATACAGCATTTTTTTTAAAAACCACCTCAGGATCCCTCAAAAGCACTAATGCAAAGTGTAATCACTGTTATATTACGTCCTCTGGGAATTCCACCAGAACCAATATTAGACTGGCTGGTCTCCTGTTACCTGCTTTATTTCACTGCCCATCCCCCACCCTCTTTTTTTAAGAAAAACCATCACATTGACAATCCTTCAATCCTCTGGCACAATTGCCATATTCGGGAATGCTTAAAGATGACTAAATTGTACAGAGGGGAAAAACTGCCAAGTCATTTGTCCTAGTCACAGACTTACAAACAGTTAATGACTCGGATACTTTGGCTGACCTTTTATAGCAGGTACTGATACACAATTTTCAACGCCACAGCAATCCCAATTCTCAAAGAGAATTCAGCAGCTTGATGTCAGGATCGTACTTGGACGAGGCGGTCTGCACTAGAGTTGCTGTTGTTCACAAGGCTAAAACCACACGAGGGGTAGGGCAGGTTTGGGTTGGGCCTGCAGTTTGCAGATGTAATTGGCTGCTGATAAAGGTTTCACTGAAAAAAAATGTCAGTAATGTTTGCCTCCAGCTCACATGACCCAGCAAGGAAAGCATTTGTCAACCACCCTCCCCCCACCTCCCCCTTTCCCCCATGTGGCCACATGAATTTTCAAAGAATGCCCAAGAGTTTTGAAGTAAACAGGAGGTAGCTGCACAGTGCAGCTGTTTGCCTGGACAAGCTGTGCAGGGCAAGTCCGGGGACGGCTTTTTACCCCCCAGCTTTACTTGCTTATCTGGTTAACCCACTTTGGCAGCTCTCAAAGTACTGTTTTACACATGATGTTGTTGTCCTTTATGGAAGCATTTCAACAGTCTCATTGAAAGCTTACTTTAGCATAGGGCTGGCACTGCGTGAGCTGAGGGATAGGAGCTGCAGGGTGAGAGGACAGCACAAGCCCACAGCATTCTCTCATTCCAATCACTTAATCTGAACTATCAACATCTTTTCTCCATCAGCACTCTACACCCACTAACCACCATGCTCCCCCCTCCCCAAACTACAGCACAAATGCTGCCCCCTCCCCACTTCACTTCAGCTCTGAAGAAGAGTCACCTGGACATGAAACGTTAGCTTGCTCTCTCTCCAGGGATGCTGCCTGACCCGCTGTGATTTCCAGCATTTGTTGCTTGCAATACAAGCCCACAGCACCATAGTGCAGAGAGCACGATCTCTGAAAGGAGCCAATTCATGCTGTCTACAGACTCCACTCAAACTTTAAGAGAAGCAGAAAAAACACATTTCATTCAGCAAGGTGAAATTCTTCCCAAAAATCAGCCACTGGCTGAGGGAACATTGCTTCCCTTACTCAAACAGTGCTCTGGGCAGAGGCCTTACCTCCTCTCAAAAATGCCAACAAATCCAGCTCATGCAATTTGAAAGTTAAAAGCTACTTACAATGTCCTTTACAGCAGAAGGTTTGCAACTTGCTTTTGAGGGAGGAGCTATAGAAAGCAGACAAAGGTCCACAATTTTCTGATGAAGGGTCTAGGCCCGAAACGTCAGCCTCTCTGCTCCTATGATGCTGCTTGGCCTGCTGTGTTCATCCAGCTCTGCACCTTGTTGTCAAAGGTCCACAATTACTGAGTCTCCACTTGAAAGAAAAGGTTGCAACTTTTACAAAGTCACTAGACTAGCCTTAATCTCTCACTTCTTTCACCCGTGAATTGTGGGGGTTGGGAGGCTAGCTTCTGCCCCTCCTACACTATCACTGCTGCCAAGCATCCCTATCTTCAAACAGGCTACACATGACCCACACAGAATCCTTCACCTACTTTAAACATGGGGGTAAGCAGTCCTGGAACCTGATGAGGCCTCCAACTTCTGTTGTATTTACAAAGCAGGATAGATCAGGCCACTGTTGAGGTCACAAATTGCGTATGTACAATGGATAAGCTTCCCCAGTTAAGACACAATTCTGAAGATTACAACTTTCTCCAGTATTCTAGCCAGGCTATCAAATGTTCACCACAGCATCCACAGTTTCCATTCTAGCTTTAACTCACTCGCGCAAACATCCACTCCCTCGATGATGGGGGGAGCCCAGTACATCACTGCAAAAGATAGGGCTAAAGCATTTGTAGCAATATTTAACCAGAAGCTCTGACTGGGCGTCACAGATGTCAGTCTTCAGGCAATTCGATTTGCTTCATGTGATATCACGAAACAGGTGGAGGCACTGGGTACTGCAAAGGCTACGGGCCCTTACAACAGTCTGGCAATAGGATCGAAGATGTGCAAAACTTGCCTCGCCCCTAGACAAAGTGCTCTAAGATAGCTCTAACACTGGCATCTACCCAACAATGTGGAAAATTGCCCAGGTATGCCCTGTACATAAAATGCAGGACAAATCCAAACCAGCCAATTCTGGCCCCATCGGTACATGCTCAATTATCAGTAAAGCGATGGAAGTGATTGACAGTGCTATCGAGCAGCACTTGCTTACTGCTCACTGACAATCAGTTTAGGCTCCACCAGGGTCACTCAGCTCCTGATCTCATTACAGCCTTTGTTCAGACATGGACAAGAGAACCAAATTCCAGAGGTGAGATGGGAGTAACTGCCCTTGACATCAAGGCTGCATTTGACAGAGTGGGGCATCAAGGTGCCCTAGCAAAACTGGAATCAATGACAATTAGACAAAACTTAGGGTTGGAATCATACCTAACCAAAGGGAAATGGCTGTTGGAGGTCAGTTATCTCAACTCTAGGACATCATTGCAGGAGTTCCTCAGCCAAGTGTCCTCAGCCCAACCATCTTCAGCTGCTTAACCAATAACCTACCCGCCAGAAAGTCAGAAGTGGGGATGTTTGGTGATGATTACACCATGTTCAGCACCACTCCTCAGATACTGAAGCAGCCCACGTTCAAATGCAGCAAGACCCAGACAATAGCCAGGCTTGGTGTGACGAGTAGTAAGTAAAACCTGCACCACAAGAGTGCTAGGCAATAACCATCTCCAGCGAGAGTGAATATTAAATCATTACCCCTTGACGTTCATTCAATGGCATTACCATCACTGAATCCCCAACCATCTACATCCTGTCTGGCTATAACCAGAAACTGAACTGGATGAGCCATATATGTACTGTGGCTGCAAGAGTAGGTCAGAGACTATGAATCCTGCAGTGAGTGACTCACCTCCTGACTCGCCAAAGCCTGTCCACTATCTACAAGACACAAGTCAGGAGTGTGATGGAATACTCCCCACTTGCCTGGATGGGGGCAGCTCCAACAACACAAAGGGCTTGACATCATCCAGGACAAAGCAGCCCTCTTGATTGGCACCACATCCACAACCTGGGTTTAAATCCAACAAGGCAGATGGTGGAATTTAAATTCAATTTTTAAAAATCTGGAATAAAGAATCTAATGATGACCATTAAACCATTCGTTGATTGTCAGAAAAACCCATCTGGTTCACTAATGTCTTCCAGGGAAGGAAATCTACCATCCTTACCTGGTCTGGCCTGCACGTGACTCCAGACCCACAGCAATGTGGTTGACTCTCAACTGCCCTCAGGCATAGCTGGGCAAGCCACCCTCAGCCAGTCATATGAATCGCTATGATGTCTAAAACAAAGAAATGAAGCCAAGCGGACCAAAGCAAATAGACTTCTCTGTAATAGTCGTGACCAGAAATATGCTAACAAATGAAGTTTTTTTTGACCAGTTTCATACTTCAAAAGTGCTTAATTAACTGTTCAGTGCTTTGGGAATGTCTGAAGTCATGAAACATACTACAGAAGTGCAATTTTTTTTCTTTTTTTTTGAAAAAAAAAACTAGTGGCAGCCTTCCTAATTAGGTCAGAGGACAACAAGCAGTATCAGCCAGAACTGTGTTCCCAGCCTAACTCTTGGTTTGATTCGCTGCAGCAAATGTACTGGAGGAAAAGAAATAAACTACATGCAATCACGTGAATTAGAAGGGCCTGCTCAGCCATTCTGAGACTATGGCTGATTCGATTAAAAAAGTGTTGACTATGTCTTAAATGGGCAACCCTTGATGTTTAAACAATGACCTCAGTCCTAGATTCTCCCATTGGAGGAAACATCCTCTCCACATTTACCTGTCGAGTTCCCTCAGGATTTTGTGTACTTTAATCAAATCACCTTATTGTTCTAAACTCATGATTACTAGTCTGTTCAACCTTTCCTCAATAGATAACTAACCTGTTCCAGTTATTAGTGTAGTCAACCTTCCCCAAACAGCCTTCAGTGCATTTCCATCCTTCCTTCCTTAAATAAGGAACCAATACAGTGCACAGTACTCCAGATATGGTCTCATCAGTGCCCTGCATAACTGAAGCATAATCTCCCTTCTTTTGTACTCAATTCCCCAAATGATTAAGTGATAATATTCTATTAGCTTTCTTAATTACTTGCTGTATCTGCATACTAAACTTTTGTGATTCATGCACAAAAACACCCAGATCCCTCTGCAATCTCTCACCATATGATAATATGGTTCTTTTTCATTCTTGCTGTCAAAATGAACAACTTATACTCCATCTGCCATATGTTTGTGCATTCACCTAACTTGTCAATATCCTTTAGGAACCTAATATTCTCTCCTACCTATCTTTGTGTCATCAGTAAATTTGGCAACCATACCTTCCATGCCTTTATCTATACCCTTCTTTCAAATACAAAAAGAGACTACTGCATGATGGACAGCTCTGATTCAATTGAGCTGACAGCGACTAGAAACAAATCAAGCTCCAGCAACTCGAGTTTCTGAAACGTTAACTCTGATTTCCCTCCACAGATGCTGCCAGACCTGCTGAGCTTTTCCAGCAATTTCTGATTTCCAGCATCTGCAGTTCTTTGGGTTTTTTTCTTTTGAGGAGTAAGTTGAATGATTCAAATCAGTCACTCGATTTAAACTGAGATAGGACAAACCAATTTGTTTCACAGTTGCAAAGTCCAGGATAATAACTACTTTTGAGAAGTGTTACGACAAAAATATTAGCTTAGCCTTGATTGCACACAATTATATCATCTGATTAGCATATCTATTGTAAATATTATATTACTGTTTCACATTTGCTTATTCACCTATTGTTCAACCAAACCACACTCTGATATTCTGCTGCTTTTAGTAGACAAACAAGATAGACCTAAAAAAAAATCACAGAAAGGTACTGGGCTCACTCGTAGAAATGTAACCAACACAAAATCACAGGGAGCCAGACAAGAAGTCCAATTTAATACAGTAGCCAATATAACTAGAATACATGGGCTGAAAAGACCCAGATATATAACACACATTAACCATTACTGTAAAGACTGCAAACACTGAAAAGACAGTTCTGAGGAAGGGTCACCGGACCCTAAACATTAACCGCGACTTCTCTTCACAGATGCTGCCAGGCCTGCTGAGCTTTTCCAGCCACTTCTGTTTTTGTTACTGAAAAG